GTATTTATTTTTGAAAGTTACTTGCTTTAAAAGTATGAAAATAACTCTGAACCTGCTCGGGTATTGCATGAAAATCCTCCGTACTCACCGGTTTCAACTGATTTCTCAAGCAAGAGAAGGCAAAACTAGACCAAGCAAAGTGATGACGCAGAGGTTTAAGTTCAACACTGCTGCGTTTTTATAAAAACCCACTAACCTTAAACGTTAGAATTTATTCAAATACACTTAAATGTTAATAGGGTGCCCTTAAAAGCCTAAATTAAGTTGCAAATTTATCTTTGCCTGTGGTTCCCCCCATGGGTTATCACCTTTTTTGCTGTGTTGAAATTGCACTCTGGCAATCTTGTGCTGCAGTAGGCATTTAACACAACTACTGAGTACTTTGCATATGCATGTCTTTATCTGTGTCGCTGTGTTCGTCTGCACATGTGCTCTTGCTCAGATGTGTTGGCGTCTATCTGAGGCTGAGAGTAAGCGTATTAAGCTTTACAGTCCTGCTTACATTCTCAGGGTAGTACAAGAGTGAGCAGAGATAGCTGGTCCCATGTCAGGGCTGTGATAACGACTCAGGACCTGTGTTATTGTTGCTGCCTGTTTCTCTCTCTCGTCCAGCACTGCTTCCTCACCGCCACTTTCACATAACTGATGAACACTCAGAGCCACAGCTGCTCGATACTTCAGAGTATATGAGGGATTGTAATGCATTCATTCATGTTTTTTTTTTAATGAGATAGACTATGAGATGGAAAATGAGCCAAGCTGTAAGAGAGGGAAACTCTGCCCTGCATCTATGAGATATGAGCACAGCTGCCACTCCCATCTCTGCCTCTTTTTCACTTTCTCACCCACCTCCTCCTCCCTCTCTCTCCCATCCACCCACCTCTCGCCCCCCCTCCCTGCTCTCTCCAGTCTTATTTCCTGCTGGTCTGTCTTCTATCCAGTCCTGCTCTGTGTCAGTGTATCACACTAATTCAATCTCCAGTACACAGGCACTCCAATGTAATGACCCATGACATTCAATTAATGCTTCTTGGTAGGTTAGGTCAGCAGTAATTTTGTGTGCATACGTGCGTTTGTCTGGTGTGTATGTGTGAATCCCTGAGTGGGTGTTGTGTGTGTAATTTGACAAGGATGGCAGTTAGTGTAACCCTGTTCCTCACATACTGCAATTATAAAAACTTTAATATCTCTGAAGTGGCTTGGAAGTGGCTTTCTTCATAAACTTTCAAATGTTCTTACAGTGTTTGTTTTACAATGCGATTTTGAGCATTTCGTTGATTCCCTGGGTCTCGACTTCATTCAAACCCTTCAAAAATTAACTTCATTAAAGTTTCCACGCTGCAACCTCCGGCTGTCAGTATGAACTTATTTACTGTGCTGTCATTGCTCCTTTCTTCCAGGCCTCACATTAGCGATGTCGTCGCCTCTCAACCAGCTGTCATGCTTATTGGATTGGTGTTGAGAGATTACCGTGTGTCCTTTGAAGGGTTACGTGTATGTGTGAGACATGGAGTCTCATGAAGTGTTGAAACACAGTGACTCAACCAGACACATGTTAACCTGCCAGAGAAGCTACACACATGAACAAAGAGAGTGATTAAATTGGTGTCGACAAACACAAACACACTTTTGGACACACATACCCATGACTTCCTTTTTAGCTTTTGTGTAGCCTGTAGCAAATACTTTCATTTTGGATTACCATGGCCTTTATGGGCTCTCAGCTCATGTCATTATGACTGTAATCCAGTGTGGATTGTGCATCATCACTGTCACCAGGGGCTTCCAATATTTAATTACTTACCTAACCTGGATAATCTACTAGTTGCCCTGCTGAAATAACACTGCCTGTGTACACAAACTTATGCATTACCAGCATCTATTTATAAATTGATATCGTAGCTCATTATATATGGTAATCATCCGTATTACGCTGCTGAAGCTCAACAAATGCAACATGATTCTTCTGCTGCTTGGAGACCTTCTTGATTTGCCACACGCACGTGCTAGGAGTGACTTTAATTAAGAGAGGAAACTTTAAAAATCCTTTCAACTCCACTGTAGGGAAGGTCAGGTAGACTGTCTCATTAGGGAAATTCCTAGCAGTTCTGTCAAACCACTGATTGTTACCGGCATTTTTTTCCCACATTGCCATCTTTTCTGTCACTTTTGCCCTTCTCATCCCATCCTGTCATACCTGTCAGCCACATGTAAGCTCCTTTTTCTCATATACTTCATCCTTCCTTCTTATCTCCTCCTCCCTTTTTAAAAAAAAAATCTTTCTTCTCCCTTTGTCACTGCTCCATTCTCTCCCGCTCTACCTCTGTCTCTCCATTTCAGTAACGATCTAATTAAGGAGGGTTTTGTTGCCTGCCCACTGTGTATAATTGCCAGTGGGGTCTGCCTGTACTTCACTCAGCAATTACGAGCAGCATTCTTTTGCTCCCAAATCGGCTAATTAAGCCTTAAGGACAGCGAGCTGATCGTAGTCGCATTAGGCATCACGAGGAGTCAGGAATGCCTGTGCTCTTCTCACTCCTGGGACACACAGAAGTAGTGGATTGTAGAATGGTTGCCATGGTAGCAATCACACGGTGTCAGATCCTTTGCGGTGACTGTCAGTCAGTTGATATCCGTGCGCCTCTTCATGTGTGTGTGTGTGTTTGTTCATCTGTAACAGAGACAACAATTCTGCTCCAGGTCACCTATTCTTTTCATTATTAAGGCTCAATCTGTGAAGACAGGACAGGGGGCCAAATCGAGCTTGTCACAGTTCCTGTTTGGGTCCCTGGGTGGACCGCCTGTCATTTTGATTGATTACATTGCCAGCTCATGTAATGCTTGCCTTGCAGTATGTCCTCACTCAGTGCTGCACAACACACAACGTGCCCCATGGCCACAGCTATGCACTTACTTCAAACTGCTGTATGTAATCCTGACACTGTGCGGTGCAAACACACCAGCATATCTAAGTATGCCGCAATGGATGCAGTTTTACTGTTTAAACCCATTAGAGTAACTGCTCTGTCACATGGAACATTTGGTGCAAAATCATATAAAGTGCTACGGAGAAAATGCCAACTGGTTAGTCAGTACTGAGACTCTTTATGGAGTAGGTATTTTTTTCAGTATACTTCTTGCAGAAAGTTACAACACTGAGGTGTGTGTTCTCATTCTTTATCCACACATCAAAGCAGCCATTTCAAATGGGAAAACTACCTCTTAAGAGATAGTGTTTTCATATTCCCACAAGACCTCTAGCTTTCCTTTGTGTAAAAATGGCATCAAAATAAGAAACGAAATGACAACTGACAGAGAAAACACCACTAAAGCAAAATGGCATGCACTGTTGCACTATTATAACTATCTGTATTATGATATTCCATCAGTTATAATATCCGCAGTAACCTGAAACTCAGGGGTATAATAAAACACAATGCACGAAAGAATTGTGTAAAAACTCATCTGCAGTATCTGTTCCAATACATATACTGCATATACTGTGGTGGACCACCTACTAAACATAATGAAAATGCTAATTTACACCTCTGAAACTGCCTCACACGTTGAAGTCTGAACTCCAGCACTTATTAAACCACAGCTTCGGGCACTTGTGTGCTATGTCTCCTACGTAGCAGATATTTTCTCCAGTGGCACAAATTTGCATGGAAATTGCGTGAATAATGTGTGCCTATTTGCTAAATAGCCTTAGAGCTGATATTTGGCTGTAGAGCCTTAAGTGTTCATTTAATATGGATTTGAACTGTGCAACTCACTCAAAGCTGGGCGAATTGCCTGGGTTTTATTATTAGTATTGGATATTTTATTAGGAAGCTTTACATAAGCCTTTTAAAGTTTTGACTCCACATTCTGAATTGTTTTGTACCTCACTTACCTCTACTCTGTGGTAAGCTCATTGTAAAAGAGTGCAGGCAGCTCTGGTTTCTTGGCTTCTCCATCTGGAACAAATGATATAAAGTGGCAACAAATGGCCCCTGCAGTGGGCCTGTCCAATGCTGTGCTGACTTTTAATGGCTCCTAAAGGTTGGGATTGGAAAACTAAATTAAATGAAGCTAATGCACACAATGACACTGCATTTAACGTCACTGTGCTATTAATATTTGCTTTTGCCTGTTATAACTTAACAATGCTCCAAGAGAGTAGTTAACAGCATGTTTATTTTTAAATGTAATAAAAATATGTATTTTCTTGGCTGCATATGAGCCTAATGATTGAAATGCTGTTCCTCACCTCCCTCAGTATAACCTTCTGGACTGTTGTCACTGCTGCACTAATGTATATTAAACAGTTCTAGGGCAATTGGCATAAAAATACTGTTGCAAATTACTTAGCTTAGGTTTTATTGCTCATATTTAATCATTCACTTACAGGATCTTTTGTTATTGTATTGTTTAAATAATCTTCTAAAGTTGGTTTCAATGAATCTTTTCCTTTCTAATATATTATTTTATGTACATTTCATGCACCTTGTTTTATTTTTGGGTTTAGTTGTATCTTGGTGTGTAATAGTTTTACCAGTCCATTTTTACTATTTTGTCCACTTGTCAGTGACACTATGTCCTATGAAACATATCCAACGTGTGAAAGGGGCCTCTCAAGTAAAGTCGGATTTTTCCACATAAGTCAGTCTATTTTACAGCACTTTTCTGGCTCCCAGCAAAAGTTAAGACATGGTCTTACATAACCAATCAAATATGTCGTCTGAGAGAAGTCATTTTGTCCTATTTTAGTTGTAAAATAACAGCAGCTTTGACAACTTCAAATGGCACATTTCCTGCAACCATATCCACACTGTTTTCCGTTTTTCCTTGATTACACAGATTTGTCATTTTCCCGATGTAAAAAATAGATGGGGATTTTTTTTTTCAGTATGTGAATACCACAAATTTCACTTTTGTAGAATTCAGTTCTGTTCGGACGATAATGATGGGCAATATTTTTGTATCTTACATGGATGTCTCATTTCTGCTTCATCCAGGCTGCCAGCTCCAACTGTAGCAAACCCAAGTAGATGACTGAGAACTCAGCCTCCCATGATGGACAAGAAAAGTGGTGAGTGTCTCTAAGCCTGTATTTAAACAAACAATCACTTTGCTTTCACCATGTGCCACAAACCACATCTTCTTTTTTTCCTTTTTTTTTAAAGCTATAATAGCTGTAAATAGTGATAAAGCATTTTCATATAATTTTTGTTCATTATTCAATTCACTAGGTGCCATTAAGAAAATGAACCATTTGGCCTGCTGTTGCTGTATGTTGCCAAAAGCAACTAAGGGCTTATTTTCTTCAGGTGATAACCACCCTTGTCTCATACTGTATTCATAAGTTGACACAGCATGAGCAGCATTTTACATGCTGATTAGTTTGTTTTGGCGCAATCACTGCATGATAATTACTTCCCAGTAAGTGATAGGGTTTACATAATGAAGCGCCATGTGTTCAGCACAATACCGCCTGTCTGTACAAGTGGGTGAAAAGGAATAATAATGTTGATAATAATCTATGATTTGGTTCATGTTCATTTTGTCAAGCCATTGTCACACGTTTAGTTCTTTAATTTCAGCTGTTGCTATTATTAGTAGCAGTAGGTGGAGAAGCACTGACTGATTAACAGACCAATCGGTTGATGTTAATTCCTTACAGCCAACGGCTTTCAGACCAAGGCCACTGAGGGCGGTGTTCAGAGGAAGCAGCTGCCCTACTCAGTAGAGACTCCTTATGGCTTCCACCTGGACCTCGACTTCCTCAAATATGTTGATGACATTGAAAAAGGCAACACCATCAAAAGGGTCCACATCCAGCGCAGGGTAAAAGGCCCACCAAAATTCAGCACTCTACCAAGAAATTTTAGCCTTCCTGGACATGGAGCAAGGCCTGTCCCGAAGGAAAAGGACAGTTCATGGTCTGGAACATCCACCCTGGGACCTAAGCCTAAATCACGGGTGACTGAGGTGCAGCAGATCTTTGACTTCAGGGCAAGTGAAGGGGGAACTTCCAGCCAGAGCAGCAGGGGGGCAACCAGTCCAAGAACTAGCTATGTTTCAGCTAAACCTACAGATGAAGCAGGAACAGGGACTCGAGGTGGTGAAGACAAAGCTGTTGGAATTCAAAGTCGCCCAAATCTGCTCAGAGCATCGAGCATGCCCATCACCCTACAGCAGCGTAAAGGTTCAGATTCAAGCAGTCCTGATCGCACCTTGGGAACACCAGAAAATGGCTCAACGGAGAACATGTTTCGTGCTTCACCAGATGTTACAGAAAGACGGTGTGTTCCCCAGGATCGGGCAGGGCTTCACCAGCAGATTACAGTGGCACTGAAGCGGGTCAGAGAGCTAGAAGAGCAGGTTAAAACCATCCCAGAGCTAAAGGCTCAGATCTGCTCTTTGAGGGAGGAGAGGGAGCAGCTTCTGCTTCAGCTGCAAGCCCAGGCCCAAGCCCAGGTTTCCAGTTCATCCTCTACAGGAGCCACAAGTTATGATGCTAAGGCAAGCAACCGGACACAAGGACACAGACCTGCAGGAGGGCTTAATTTAACTCTGATTAGTCAACCTGCTGGAGGTGTAGAAGATTCAAAGCCTCTCCCAGCAAAGCCTGTATCAGGGAAAGAAAAACAAGGTGAGACAGAGAAAACTAAAGCCTTACCAAAGGAGGGAGAGAGTTCCTCAGCACACAGAGAAATGACTGGGTTGTCAGCACAAGAACTGGATAGACAAACACTGCCATCAGAAAAATTTGACAAACAAAAAGAGACATTAGAGAGTCCACTGGAGCATGCAGTGCAAAAGCTATCACGGGACATTGCAGGACAGGACTTAACATCACTTCGGGTGGCTATAAAAGAAGCAGAGACTAGCAATATTCCAGACAGCGGTGCATCAAAAGAAGGAAAACCTGAGGACCCAGATGGTATGCAGAAGCTGCAGGAGAAGTTAATGATACTGGAAGCTAAACTTAGCCAGGCTAGTCAAGAGCTGGAGAGAACTAATAGTCTTTTAAAAGAACAAATAGAGGAGAACAAGGTGAAGGAGGAGAGAATACTACAAATAAGTGAAGGAATGAGAGTAGAGGTTTGTACCCCAGAAGCACACGACCGGCCGAGAAGAGAAAGCATTGACACGGGGACGGTGACAGAGAGAATAGATTTTGCTAACCAAGAAACAGAGACAGAATCGCCTGGTACAGTAGATCAGGGGACAGACACTGATAAAATCTGTGTTGAAGTGTGTGTAATCACACCAAGAGCTGGAAGCATAGATCAAGGAACAGTGACTAGTAAAGTTAACACTCAGGACCAGGTGACAGAGATGGTGACAGAGATAGCAGCAATGAGTCCACCTAGACCCAGAGCCAACAGCATGGAACGAGGCACAATAACTGAGAGGATCACCACTCAGGATCAGACGACAGAGACGCCTGTAGCTCAGAGGGTAAACCAAGTCACGGAAACAGATGGAGAGACAGTGACAGACCATCCGCAGAGACCGAGGGCCAGCAGTGTAGATCGAGGGACGGAGACGGAAAGGGTGGGCACTGTGGACAGGGTGACAGAGACAGAGGTAGCGCAAAGGACAGACCAACAGACTGAAACAGAGACAGAAAGACGACAGGACAACAATCCAGCCAGAAATGTAGAAGCAGAGAGTCAAGTGACAGAAGATGTAGGCAGTCAAAGAGAAGATGCAGCTGCTGTGGTCAGTGAAAGAGCAGAAGATACGAGAGCAAACGAAAGAGCCAGTGAAAGTGTGATAGCAGAAGTAGTTATAGAGAGCTCAGTTGAAGCTGTAGAAAGCATAGTTGTCCAAACTTCAGTTTCAGATGCTATAAGCCAGAAAGAAGAGGGTGCCAGTCCAGTTCCTGAGACAGGAGAAGACAAAGTTAAAGTGAGTCCTGCACAGGATGACTCAGAAACGAAAGAAGTGATACCTGTAAAGACTGCAGAAACAGAAAATGTTGAAACAAAACAAGTTGCCCTGGAGACTGTTAAGAAAAAAGAAACAGTAGAAGGAGAGATTGTGTGTGCAACAATCAAAGAAACTGTGGTCACTGACACTGTTGTAATATCAGCAGAGAGTTCAGCTGTGAAGACTGTAGCTCCTGTAAGACCACAGAGAGGCCGAAAGCTCTCGGGGGAGCAGGCACAGCCGTCTCTTCCCCAACTTCAGGTTGTACCTGTCCGTCCTCGTAGGGGATCCAGTGAAACTCAAGCCCACCAGACCCAGCCCCAAACAAAAACTCAGCCATCGCCAGAAGTACAAAGTGCACCTGAGGCTGATGCTAAGTCCTCGGCACAGCTATCGGAACCACAGGTAAAACCTCAAACCCCATCTGTGTCTCACCTTGAGGACCCCACCCTGGCAAAGAAGACTCCTGAGGAATCTAGTGAGAAAAAGTCTCCATCACAACCTCAGGCTGCCACTCAGAGTCCGTCTCCAAGTTCCAGTGAAGTTAAAATCAGGCCCAAATCAATTCAAGCCCCATCTCAGTCTCAAACTTCTGCATCTCGTCGGGATTCCAAAGAGCTTAAAGCACCACAGAAGGGGTCCAGTGTATCACAAACATCTAGACGTGGGTCAGGAGAAGCCCAGACCCGCCCAACTCGCCAGGTATCAAGTGATGCCCAGCCTCAGTCTCAGGGCTCTCGTAGAAGCTCCAGTGAGAGTCAACCTCCTAACAAAGATGCTGGTGAGACACAATCATTGCGCAGAGGTTCGAGCGAAGCAGCTCAGCGTCGTGGTTCAAGCGAGGCCCAGGCCTCGCGTCGGGACACCGGTGAGGCACAACCTCCTCGTCGAGGCTCCAGTGAGTCACCAACATCGCCTGCAGCTTTGGGTCAAGTTGTAACTCGGTTAACAGGGCTTCTGGGAGAGCAGTGGGCACAGCTGGGAAGTGGCTCTGGGGCTCAACAGACGACCGGCCAGCAAGAGAGCCCCAGCACACAGAAACAGACGACAGGGAAAAGAGCAGAGGCAGTAAAGGGAACCTCAGCCAAGCCTTCGGGGAAAGCAGTCCCTGCAGCAACAACAACAGGGAAAGCAGCAGGGAAGCCTGGTCCTTCCAAAATGAGCTCCATTCAGAGTCAACTGGTCAGCTCCCTCAGTGTCCTCTCTGCGTTCTACTCCCCAGGACAGAAAGCGGCTGCTGCCAGCAAACAGCAAGAAAAAGGTAGGCCTGTGGTTCATTTGTGTATCTGTCTGTCTGAAAGCTGCTTACCTACTTGTAAGAGACTCAGTGAGCTGAATCCGTTCCTCTCTAATATTTATTGAAATGATCCCTTCACAAAGCATGATATTGTATTAGCTATGCCACTTAATTATGACAAGTCCCTTATGATCTCCAATTGCAAAGAAGAGGTAACATTAACATGTACATATAGCAGCTGGGAATACGAAATGCAGACAGGAGCAGCCAGACATGTCAGAATGGTGTGACAGATTTCTGTGGTGCCACTTGTTTACATAGAGCTCTGGTCTACCCTGCAGACCAGCATATTTTGTCAGCTAGTGTTAGATGCACACTCTTACTATCATACTGAGAACAAAGTGGTGTATTTACAGCATGCTGGTCTGTCTTAGTGGCTGCAGTTTCTTTTGACTGAAACCTGAAACCCACCAGTCCTATTCAATTATTTAGAAACACCATTGGGACCATATGCTGTCAGATTATGTCTTTTGGTCCTATCAATAGTGCTACATCAACACAATGATTGTTGTTTACCTGATTTATCAGGTTTGCAACGCTGCGGTAGGGTCAAAGTGAAGGGCATTGTCTGGAAAATTCTCAGCTTGTCTGAAATATGATATTTTGCATGTACTTCATCATGATACATTGCCAGGAGTCTAATGACGAGGGATCGTTCAAATATCAGTCAGGTCGATTATTGGATCTGATACTCTGCATTTTTTCAATTATTGGTTCTGCTAATTTTTTTTTTTCAAAGATTCCCATTAAATATACGCACTTATAAACAAACTAATTTGGTTCTAATGCAGCTTCCTCTCTCTATCTGTAATCACCACTCTGTGACCTCAGAGCACTATGTGACTGGTTGCATGTCAGGGGTAATCAACACTGAAGGATAAATGTTGTAAGGGTCTATCTTAAATAAACATATATCACATAAACAAACCAAGACATTCCGACATAGTGTTGTGTTAAATTGACACCAGGATTTTTGGTGCAAATGTATTTGGACTCCAAATATAAAATAATGCTCTTGAGAGAACCATATGGGTCAACACCTAATGTGGACTCAATGATTTAATGCTGCATCTATCCACCAACTCTCAGTATATTCTGCTGTGGCACTTCTCTAACAATGCAGAGGCCAAGTGAACTCAAGCCTACAAAGTGCTATGCAATGTGTTTTTTATTCAGACACACAAAACACACCTGCTACCAGGACACTTTGGTTTATGGCAGGGCCTGGGATTGAACCACCAGCCTTAGGATTAGTGGACAACCCACTCCACCACCTGAGCCACTTCTTGTGCTTTTTCTTTATCACTTGGCACAACTTGCTTTGCTATTTACTATATACAACACATTTATATTCATAGCTCGGTGGTAGCTCATTTTAAGTCGATATGCAATACATGCTATGTTTCAGAGATATAGTAACTATTGATGACTTGAAACAACATGGTTCACTGACCTCCAAGAGCACATCAAGCACATGTTTCTTTTTCCAAAAACTATTTAAGAATACACACTCACACAGGGAAGTGCACGCATGCATATGGGCACTTACTTGCAGTGAGTGGACTTGAGCACAGGCCCTCACACATACATCAAACACGATGCCTCTCTTCCCTCCCTTAATGTCTCACTGTTCCGTTTCTGGCCAGGAGCTGGAGCACAGAATCACTCTGCTATCACACGCATATTTTATGTTCAGAGTTCACGTTAAGTTCAGTGCAGGGAGTACAGTATACAGGAGTGCTTTTAAGTGAAGTGGGTGATTGTGGGTTTTTTTTTAGGAATGTCACTGTTTCTCTGAAGTTTGCCATCCACAGCTTTGACATCTGAAACTCCCAGCCTGATATCCTTTACATCATATCAGCCGCTACGGATAATATTGGAAAAAGAAACCATTCCTCTCACTCTACTAGTCATCAGAGACTGAAGCTAAGCTTTGTGATTTATATGAATGAGCAAAGTGTGTCAGAGATCTCTTGATCACAAAGTGAGGGAACGTTAAATCGGACGATTGTTTTATTTAATGCAAGTTAGAGATAGGCTGTATTCAAATTCCAAAAATCTTCAAAACTTTCCCACTCTGTGTTGCTGTCTCCTGAGAGACACTCGATCTAACAGCATCATTCTTCTGGGATGGTGGTCGCTAGGATCTTCTTTGCTGGTGGTTTTTGGCTCAAAGCCACATCCTTAATGTCCTTGCATAAAACATTACAGATCCTCTGCACCATGTCTGCTGTCAGGCACAACTAAGACAGCCTTACTGGGCTTAGAGCCAAGAGGGAGTCAGCAAAGGAGCCCATGCAGAATCAATTATGGGGCAGTTACATATATAAGTAGCCCTGACAATGTCAAGGTTGTATGTTGTCAATAAGGCATGTAATCTTGACCTGCGTGTATATTGTGTAATACTTTGTGTAACTATGAGTAAGTTGATTTTATTCAATAAGTGGATTTTATGGAATATGTGCTTCAGAATTCTTCTCACAGCGGACTTATTTTAAAGTGTAGCTGTCATCCTGCAAGCAATGTGAGATCCTTAATGTCTTCAGGTTAGCTATTTTTTAAAGCAAAGGTCATTTTTCTTGACAGTGGGAGGCTGTTCCCTCACATTTGTTTTAGAGCTGGAGCATATAAATAAGACTCTTGTTTCCACTTCCCATGTTAACGCAGGGTTTCCACATCATTTGATGAGCTACACTCGCTTCTAATTGCATCCATACGTTGTTTAATATCTTCAAAACGCACTGGAATTCCCAGACCATCACAGACAGAAACAGGCAGGCAGACATACTGGTGACACAAAGAAAGATTTGAAAACCATAGTTGTTTATGGACTCATTTTTCCCACCAGAAATCAGGCAGTTTTACTTTGATCGAAACCTAACCATGCATGCATAGAAGTGACAGATCTTAACACACAGATAAACATAATACTGTAGGTTGACTCCGCACAAATACATATGTGAATTCCACAGAAACTTAATGAGTTTTTTCCTTTCCTGGTTTTTCATTTTCTTCCTCTTCTCTTTTTCTCTCCGTGTCCCCCTCTTCACCAGGTCTCAAATCTATTATGAAGAAAAATGGTGTTGCTGACAAGCAGGGGAACAAGGGTGCCAAGAAAAACCTGAAGTTTGTTGGGGTGAATGGAGGGTAAAATCTTCTTTTTAATCAGCATCCAATTCCTGTGTGATTTATACCTTTCTGAGTGCTGCATTTTTTCTTTATTTACTTACTTATTATATGTGGTATATGTGTGTCTTTGCATGTTTTGCTTTACATTCTTACAGGATAATTAACCCTCTGAACCCCAAAATGTGCCAGAAGGTTTAAAAGTACAGTTTATTCACACCATTGTTGGATTTTCAGCTTTCTGACAGTCTTTTTTGCACTAATCACATGTGATATGCAGTTCAAATGGAAAAAATAAGCAAATCTAAGCAAAAAATGTTGTATTTCATCAAAATCACTTGGGCCAAAACATAAAGTACTTGCAGTAGCCACATTATGTGAAAAACAAGAACAAACAGTAGAGTGATAAAAATTCAGGGACTCCTCAGCTGAACTGCAGGTTGTGCTTACACAGAGTAGATAGGAGACATGAGACATAAGTATGGAAACAAATAAAAGGTTAGTAGTAGTAAATATATCAGTGACCACATCGGCATCAGCCGATATTAGTGTTATTTCCCATATATCGGTATCCGTCTGATGAACAAATTTAGCTGATGTGAAAAACCGATGATTGTCTAACATGAGCGCCTTTGTCTCTATCTTTTATATTGCTGCTATTTCACAGATGTTTTTACTTAAACATTAAATATGTTAAAATATGTTTTACTTTTGTTATGTAACAAAGGAGACTATGGGGTCTAATTTGGTATGGGCTTCTTTTAAATCGTTTTCATGTTCTCACAGTGCTTCCTTTTACTAATTTTTCGGTGTGAACAAAAATTGAATATCAACATCATTAGTATCGGTTATCGGCGATATCAGAAATCTTTTTTTAAGATTATTTTTCTGGTGTTTTTGCCTTTATTAGTCAGAACAGTGAGAGAGTGAGACAGGAAAGGGGGGAGAAGAATGGGGGGAGACCTTGCAGCAAATTGTTTTGAGCGGAGTCGAACTCACGAACGCCGCGCCGGGGAACTACAGCCCCTGTTCATGGGTCGCCCGCTCAACCAGGTGAGCTACAGGGGCGCCCAGGTGATATCAGAAATCTTAATATTGGTATCTGCCAAAAAATTTTAATGTCATGCATCACTAGTTAGTAGTACCATAATTTTTTTATGCAGTCATTTTATTGAATATCGTTAAACCTGTGGGCACATGCACTGTAAAGAGTGTATCTGAGCTGTAGCTGAATGACAGTACTGTTTCAAATAAATCTCTCTTTTGCTGTGGAGATGACAGTTTACTTTTGACTTATGACTTTTGCAGATTCTAACAACTTGAAATGACATGTTGTCCCTTTAAACTAGTATTCTAGCTTCATCGAAAGCGCAAAAATTAGATTTACTACTTCTTTAGCATTGCGCATTTGATGTCACGACATTTACGTTTCTTCTCATTTTTGTGCTGCAACTCAACTAAAGCTCTAAGAAAAGGAGTGTGTTTCCACTTGATGCAGTTGGTCCAATAATTCTCTTTTTTCAGTATACTAATACAAGTTTTCATCAGTTCTAGTAAAATAAATAATCAAAGACATTTAAATTTTATTTATTTTATCTTTATCTCAGAAATGCTCAAATTCCTGTACATGTTCAAATCCACGGGCCCATTCAGTCCATTTAGTTAATTCATTTTAAAGGTTATATCAAGTCAAGATAGAAAATTAACTGTCCGTGGAGCAGTTGTTACACTTAATTATTCAGAGTGTGACAGCTTTCATGTTGATCATCTGGTTTGAACTTTGAAGCCCAGCTGGGTCTCACTCATCCACTTCTCACAGTTCGTCACAGCGACTCATTTGAAGGCAGACTGCCCTGAATCTGACCTGACTGCCGCTACCGCAAGTGTGAATGTGTGTTTGCGCATGAATACGTGTTTGACATTATGCGATGTGTGTGCACAGTTGTCAGCGCTGATGGTGTCTCGGCGCGCTGTGTGAGCGTGCTCGTGTCAGCACTGGCTGATGCTAGATGCAGTGTGGGAGTGTGCGACTGTGTGTGTGTGTGTGTGTGTGTGTGTGTGTGTGAAAGCTGATGAATTTTAAGTAAGGAGATGGTAGCGGTGGGAAGAACAAAGGTGTATCTCTTATGCAGGGAGAATATTTTTTCTGGCTGGGGTGATTCTGTTAGCTGCCTGATGTTACATTTATAACATGAAACACCTGTATACGCACAAAGTCGTGTTTTTGTGAGGACGTTGTATTCACTGATAGAAATTCCGTGGATGCTTTACCTAACCTCACACCCTGACTTTGGCTAACCTTAACCATTTGTCAGAACTAAGTGTGCTTCTACCCTGTGAGAAAAAGCAGCTTATTATGGGGAGGTGGCGTAAACATTTACAGGGTTGACCCCTGAATCTGCCCTTTTAGCCTTTTTGTTTCAGTCGACCCTGATGTTGACTCAAACAATGATTAATAGATACTATATCTTCAGTTCTGTGAAAGAAAACAGAACAATAGAGGTGAAAAAATGTACACAAATTTTCTTTGTTGTGTTTACCCAATCATGCTGTTGTCTTCAAGTTTAACCAATCAACATCAAGCCCCTAACAGTAGTTTTTCAACCTCAAAAAAGTTCTACAGTGTTCTTAAACGTGCTCTAAAACGACCCACAAGTTCCTGCAGTGGAAAATGGCTTATTGTGACTATCCATCCATCCATTATCTATACACCGCTTAATCCTCATTAGGGTCGCGGGGGGGCTGGAGTCTATCCCAGCCGACTTAGGGTGAAGGCAGGGGACACCCTGGACAGATCACCAGTCTATCACAGGCTACACTTAGAGACAGACAACCAAGCACACTCACATTCACACCTACGGACAATTTAGAATCACCAATTAACCTCAACATGTTTTTGGACTGTGTGGGAGGAAGCTGGAGAACCCGGAGAAAACCCACGCTGCACGGGGAGAACATGCAAGCTCCATGTAGAAAGATTCCGGTGCCCCACCGGGACGCGAGCCGGCAACCTTCTAGCTGCGAGGCAACAGTGCTAACCAACTGTGCCACCCTGCAGCCCTATTGTGTCTATTGTGAAGCAAATAAAAAACATTTTCATTTATCAGTTCCACATTATCTCAGACATCAGGTCTGTTCTTTCTCTGCCACATCTCAAGAAGGACATCTTTGCCTTTATTTCATCTGGTTTACATTGTTTCATTTAATTGCATTCAGGGTTGAGCAACAAAACAAACCCAGGCCTTCAGCTGGTACAAAACACAGCCACTGTGCTCTTAACAAAAGCCAGAAGACATAATCGGATCAGCCCTATTTTAGCCTCTCGTCACTGTTTACCGGTCAGTTTTAGAATTAATTGAGATTTGGAGATCACGTTTAAAGCACGTCATAGCTCAGCTCCCAGCTATATTGGTGGATTGCTGCTTTCCAATGACTCCAGATTAAAGCTGATCGGGCTTTCACAGGCAGAGACCCTCAGATATAGAACTTCCTGCTGGAGGGCTCTAGCTCTTTATTTTATTTCCTTTTATTTCTGCATTAAATATTATATCATTATTAGTAGTACTAATAGTAGTTGTAGTAGTCGTGGTTGTAATAGAAGTATGCACGCACACACACACACACACACACAGTAACTACTTCAGCAGTACTCACACTTCTAGACAGTGATCCACCTCTCTGTGTGAAGCTGCAGCAGATGCGACACCTGCAACCTTATTAGATGTTTTTTGTGCAGAAAACTCAACAAACTTCATAAATGTTTGCATGTTCACTCAGTCTCATTTTGTGTAAAACAAACTAACCTGATATGCTATCTTGTGCAGTGTTCCTAATTTGCACTAATTTGGCTCTAATGCATATCAACCTTTTTCTGGTTGACCTTATTATTGACACATGAAAACATTAACAGTGGTCCACAAACTTTATTTTATGAGACCAAAACGTTGTGAACTTCCAATTTAATTGTTAACAGTAATATTACACTACATTAAATTATTGTAATTGCAATACTTCAGTAGGTGGAAAAACTCAATATTTCTTTGTCTTCTGTCCTTCATTAGATTATAAAGCAGAGCACATGTTTAATCAAAGATTTCTTTCATGTTTTACCAGTTCCAGTTGTTCTGTTATTCTTGAGAGGTATTACCTCCTGTATATTAAGGACACGGCTGCCAGGAGTTAATTTGTTTTATTCCGACGTTCCTGTTCTTACATTCCTGAGCTTCACTGTTTTCTGACCTGCTCACCTTTGCAGTGTTGTTTCAGAGTGTTGTTGTGAGGTCTGTTCCTTCCTCCCGGTTTCACAATGACCTGCAAACATACTCCAGAAGCTATTCTCAAGAACAAATAATTAATTATTAGTGGTATTGCAAGGATCCACGCCTTGTAAACATGCACTCATATATTTCATGAGCTTCGAATAACTTGGAAAAACACTAGTTTACAAATAGTTTGTCTCTTGAGCCTTGTTTTACCCCCTGTTCTTTACTATAAATATCTACACATTTCTATTTTTCACTGCTCAGTTTCAAAGAAGAATGAGCAGATGTTATTTATAATGAGACAAACATGCCAGACAACAATATTTATATCTCTAAATATCTTGAGGCTTCTGCCCACACCAGGAAGTGGGAAGTTTGTATTTCTTCTCTTTGGATGGTCCAATGTGTCTTTGCTCTCCCTTGAGCCGCTCAGGAATCCAGAGAATGCCGTGGCCCCTGAACGCCTCTTGTGGTGCGGTTTGACAGTGTGTGTGTGTGTGTTTCTTTGAATAATCATGAATCACTGGCATTCAGTATCAGAGTTATCTGATGGTCGGCCTCATAGAGGTGCCTTCATGATGCACTGCAGTGATTGCACACACCACCAGCAGCCTCCACAGCTCTAAATATACATCATTAACCTTTCCTCAACGGACAAGGCTGTGTTTTGTACAAGGTTTGCATAAGTGAGAATGTAAACACACCTATGGATTTTTATGTGTATGTTTAATTATGTAAAGGATGTTGTCGGACATCTGGGCCAAGGCTGCATTAGACAAGCATCTTTCTCATGTCATATTTGTGGCCTAGCGGGGAATGACCTGCTAGTATTTACCCAGCCTTGGCTGAAGTTGACTTTTCTGCTCCCACATTAGTTTTACCTGCTTAGATGTGTCATTGATGTGGCTGCTTGTGTATCAAAATTCTATCCATGTGCTAACTTTTAGGGAAGAAATGCGAAAGTAAATATTCTAAACCCGAAGACGGACAAAAATATCTTGCATGGTTTATTTAAAGAGTTTGCTCACTTTTAAGGTAAAACCTGATAAATCATTCAACGCTCAGTATGGAAAAGCTTCAGCGCACGGAATTATCTGGTGGATTTTGGGTGTCAAGCTTCCGTAATTGTGCTCATGTTTACTTGTCTGTGTCCTCTTCAAGATACGAGACTACGTCCAGCGAGGAGTCCAGCGGAGACGAGAAGTCGAAGGTGGAGGCGGAGGAGGAAGACAGCTCAGAACCAGAAGTGGAGAAAGAGAAGGAGAAGGAGGGGGAGGAGGAGAAGGAGGAGGAGAAGGAGCCTGAAGAGGGAGCAGAAACCCAGGAAAAAGATGCAGAGGCCTCAGCTGAAGTAGGGGGTGCTGTGGCTGAAGAGAAGGAGGTTGAAAGAGGCCTGCTGGATCCAGAAGATATCCATGATCTGCTGGAGGAGGAGGCTGTAGGGTGAGACTGCAGAGTCTTGTGTTAAGTGGCTTCACCATAGCTGCGAGTCTGGAGGTTATCTGTGCTGCTTCAGAAATGAAACTACAGATTTTTCTTATGGCAGCTACAGTGATACCACATGGGTACTCTAAGAGCTGATTGTAGGCTGCTTGTGTTTTCTCCTACAAATATGGACTCCGATTACTGAGAAGCAACATGAGATGAAGCCCGATAGAAAAATATTTAGTTACAAGCTTTCTTACAACACACACACTTACTTGCCTATTTGCGAGTAGTCGAGTGCCTTCTGTGATGTACTTCGAGTAACAAGGTTTAAGTGCCTGTTGAGAGAACAAGTTTGTGGAAGTGTATCAAAGCTCACGTATTTCATGAGAAGATCACTCATTCATATACTAGCATAGCTTGATGGAGCTCACATGTTTTGTTGACTTTATTTAGTTTCCACACAATTTTCCACATTATTTATATAATGTAGAGTTAGAAACAGATGGGAAAGCACATATTCAGGTGTCCACAGTTAATTAGTCTTGCATAGACAGACTTATCTACATAGCGCAGTGTCAGCACTGAAGAATAATTTAGCTCCACCTCATTATCCTTCTGCCACATGGGAAAAAAAATGCCCTGGTGTGTTTGCATTTCTTTAAACCATTTACAACCATCATGGGCCGCGCTAAGCCCAGGATGCAGTGATGATGCCCCTGCACAATAGGGACTGGGGAATTGTTTTGGTGGAGCATTTGCACACTTGAGGGCGAGCGTCTCAATCAGTCATTAAAATGACTGATCATCAAAAGAATGAAGCAAGTCTGTAGAGTAACAGGCAGATAGTAGAAGGGGCGGAGAAAGCTGTGTAATTAGGCAATCACTAGTAAATCAAGTTTTCTAGAAGCACATGGGTCTACTGTATAAAAATAGGGACATAACGTGATTTTTTAAAACGGTTTATATCTGAATAGATTTCTGAATAAGAAATATATTTCTCTAAGTTAAGGATATTGTATTTAATATTTGGCCTGTAGCATTTTAACAACCCAGTTTTTCATGAACAACTTGGATCAAAATGAAGACCATGGTTCAAAACCATACAGCTTATAAGCATGAAGTATTGACGTGTGCATGTAATCACATGCGTGTTGAAACAGATGTCTATGCATTTCAATTCTCTGAACTTAACATACTGCCATCACTGCTCGCATGCACACAGCAGGGACAGAAATGCAAATGCTGCAACAATCCCTCTGGCACATTTAGTTCATGTGTACCTGCTCACTTGGATCCTCCCAACAATTGCTTGTATCATACAATAAATAAAATGTAACATACAGGGCATCCAGGTAGATGGCAGTGACATGGGCTGGTTCTAGACTGAGACAGGTGCTGAATGATGACTCAGTATACAGTACAGAGGGCAACACACACATACACACAGACACACAGGAATCCAGGAAACACACACTCAAACCTACTAACACTTTTCTAAAAACTCTACACGGACTCACTCATGCACTGTAAGCTACTGTGTTATACACTTTGAGGTAAAGCTCACACAAGCAGACACACAACTTGCTCCGACACACTTTAATTCAAGCTGCTCTCGTACTATCAAAGCTCTCAGACACTCACACAGACACACTTCACTCCATAAAGTACCGGGAGTCCAGAGCAAAACAAATAAGACGCAGTGTTGTCCTCCCTGCCACTGACTGATCACTTATCAGTCTCAGGAATACGGGCAGGGCTTAGGGCCACAGGGCCAGGCAGTGTATGGGGGCCCTGGGATAAGACAGGGCTTATATTAACTCATCACTCAGTACCCGCCCCATTATTCCTATGTGTTTGGGTGTGTGTAGCTGCGCATGTGTGTTATTGCTAGATGACAAGTAGGGTACACATTGTGACCTGGTGAGGCTCTAAGCAGCTGGAGATGTACAGTTTGCATGATGGATGACCAGTCTGAGCACTCTGTGGATATTATCGGGCAGTGAATCAGAGCAAAGTGTTACCACTGAGGTTTGCATGTGTTATCAGCGTGTCAGACGGCTGACTGATGTGTGTGAAGCTGTGGAGGCTCGCAAGGCATCTCTTATTTTCTTGTTTTCATCTCTGACAGAATTTAGACAAGAAGCAAAGTAGCTGTCTCTTGGCCATCTTGTTTTCCAGACTTGATGGTGTTCTCACATTAAAGCGGAAAAAGAAAACAATAGGACTGGGTGTGAAGTGTGCTGGCTGACACAACAATATTGGAGAGCTTAAGGGAACCAAGAAAAGGTCAAGCAGACCAGTGAGGGAAAGTAACTTGGAGCATTTACTAAATACTGCACTTATGAACAAATTTAAGGTAGTTAATTTGAGTCTCATGACACTTGATTCTTTTACTCCACTGCACTTTAGAAGGAAACATTACATATTTTACTTCACTATATTTATGTGACAGCTTTAGTTACTTTATTATTTAAGATTCTTGCCCACAAAACATATTGAGACCTCGTAAAATATGATGTTTTGTTATTAATTCAGCTACACTATAGTGAGTACAAGCACAGCTAAAACGATCAGTTGATGAATCCCTGAATTGGCCTGTATAGATCAGCAACCATTTAGCTCAGTGTTCAGGGGTTTTTGTTCTGTGTTTTTGTTCTTTTTGAGAAAAAATATAACATTGTTGGCTATTTTCTGAATTTTTCCAAACTAAAGTGACAGTTCGTAGAGAAAATAATTACCAGATTAATGCATAATATCAAAAAATATTTTTAAAAGCAGTAGTTCAAAATGAGCTTCACTTCAAGCAACTACAACAGTGATGTTCTGCTTTTACATTGCATGAGTGATAATGATTAATAATACAAAATATAATCGTATAACTGTCACGGGGAGAGTTTTCTGCGCTACGTACTTTAATTTTAAGTACCATAGTAGTTTGTCATGAAAATACTTACTTATACTTTATTTAAGTAAGGTTTAAATGCTGGACTTTACTTGTTACGGTATAGTTGGAATGTACAGTGGAGCATTTCTACTTTTGCCTAAAGCTGAGACATGCATAAGAAACACCACCATGTGATTTAATACATCCCCCAGCTCTGCTCTTTCTATTCAATATAATGTCTGAACATTAACACATGAACATAAACATGCAATTGAATCAGCCACAGTCACGGCCAAGAGCCTTTGCTACACTTAACAGAAACCCAAATTATTTGAAGTCGCCACTCATCACCAGCTTGAATGGTAAATCTATCTACATAACCTCCAACTTACTTACGGTCAAACATACAACTCCTTACTCTATCATCTGTCTTTTTGTTTTCAGGGAAAAAGTTGACAAGGCCTTTATAGACGCCTGCCTGTATGTGAAGGACCGCATGGAAGAGGTTTCATCCCCAGATAAAGAAATGGTAAGAATTTCTTTTTGCTGTACAGAATCAAAAAACGGATAAAAAGCTATTTTTATTTTGGGAAACTGCTTCTCTGTTGATCTTCTTTTAAACTCTATGACCTAATAGAGTAGAAACATGTGGAGTAATTTAGTTTATAGTGCTGTTCCTCGGGCTGGAAATGCAAGCTACTCAACAGCCCAAACAGTAAAAAATGATGCTCAGGGAGCAGTAAAAAAAAAAAAAAAAAATGCTGTCACAAGCAGCTTTTTCATTTTATATCTTTGCTCTCCTTCCTCTCTCCTCAGCGTCAGGTTTTAGTGGTGCTCTACCAGGAGTGGTTCAGGGTCTCCAGTCAGAAAGAGTCACAGGCGGATACCGTCAGGTTGTACCTGCGACAGGTGGGATTGACCACACCCACTCTGCTACCGTACGTCGTTAACCTGACAGATGGTAATGGAAACATGGCCCTCCACTACAGTGTTTCGCATTCCAACTTCCCTGTGGTCAAACTGCTGCTGGATACTGGTGAGATGCAGACACACTCAGCTACACTGACAACCGAATTCAGAACACGTGAACATAAATACTGAAGGCAAGATATTGTAACCTTGCCAAAAAATGTCCTCTCATCTCGCCTATTCAATCTGTGTGTCCAGGTCTATGTGAAACAGACAATGTGAACAAGGCAGGCTATACTCCGGTGATGCTGGCTGCGTTGACGGCTGCTGAGAGCCCCGATGATCTGGAGGTGGCACAACAGCTGTTGAAGCTGGGCGATGTCAACTCACGCTCCAGACAGGTAACACACACTAAATACTTGCACTGACACGTGGATTTGTTGTGCTGTGTATGAGGTGTTATTGGACTAAAGGATGCTGTATTTCAGGAACGGTAAGACTGGGAATTAAGTCAATCCTCTGGAGAAATCAGGGGTCACTTTACAAGAAGAATGTTGGAGTCAGCTGTTTTTTCTCGACTGCAGGGCTATCTTTAGCAGGCACCATACAGAATTTATGAAAACGAAAGGAATAGCTTTTAGAGTAACAGAAGCATATTGAGCTCACAGAAAGTTACATGTATGTGTAGAAATAAACTCTCAGTCTTTGTTATATTTACTGTATGCATAGTGAGTTTGCAAGAATTAATTCCAAACCTTTTAAATCGCTTCGTCACTTTTACCTCCCCGCTCCTTCCTTCCTTTCCTCCCACCTCCCCGACGCTGCATCACTCTTCATATATAAATATCTTCCTCTCATAGCTGCCCTCTCGCTGTTTAATTCTAATTCTGCTTTTCCCACTCTTTCTCTAGGCGGGCCAGACAGCGCTCATGCTCGCGGTGAGCCACGGCCGCGTTGCCATGGTGAAGCTGCTCCTGAGCTGCGGCGCGAATGTAAATGCTCAGGACCGCGAGGGATCTACGGCCCTGATGTGCGCCAGCGAACACGGACACACAAACATCGCTCGTCTGCTGCTGGAGACAGGTCGCTGTGACACCAGCCTCGTAGATAAGGTATCCTGGGAAGTTATGCTGTTTTACAGGACTGCTGTAAACTTGTAGGTGGTTCGTGTCTCATTTAAGATGGTTTAAGGGGAACAAAGGTGAGATGAGTTCTGAAAGTGTCATTTTCATTAACAGCTCTTTTCTTATTTTTATAATTGGACATGAAGTGAGTGATTTGTACGATGCTCCCTACTGTGTGACCTGCAAGAGTGTAGATACACAGACCCTCCTATCCACATAACACTGTGTAGGTCTGATTTGAATCATGCTTATGGGGCAGATCTTTGGTCCTCCTGCCATCTGGAGACAGAGGCAGTAGTCTTCTAACTACACAGGTACAGCTCTACCTGTTACATGTGGATGAACTGTTGTCTTAGTATGTTATAAAAGTTACAGAATGTACGAAGTGTGTCAGAAAAGTCCCAGGACTGGTGTCACAAAAGACATATTTTAAACCCAAACTACAAACTAGGAGTTTTCCCCTTCAGACTTTCAACCAGGGCGTCTACAAAGAGATTTTTTTTTGCTTCGTTCAGTGCGTGAGAAGAGGCAAGAGTTGTGGCAGGACAAGTGGTGGCTGCTTCACCATGACAACATGCCTGCTCACAATGCCCTGAGCATCCCACAGTTCCTGGCTGAGAAGAACATCTCCATGCTGGAGCAACCTCCCTACTCACCCCACCTGGCTCTGTGTAATTTTTTCCTCTTCCCCAAGCTCAAGGGGGTCATCAAGGGGACCAGTTTTGAAGACGTGGACGACATCAAGATGGCTGTGACTGTAGCTGCAGAGGATCCCGGAAGAATCCTTCCAGGAGCGCATGGCAGCGTGGCAGAGAAGGCTGGGAAAGTGTGTTAGACTGCAGGGGGATTACTTTGAAGGGGAAAACTTGCAGTTTGTAGTTTGGATTTGAAATAGATCTTTTGTGACACCAGTCCTGGAACTTTTCTGACACACCTCGTAACTCAGGCCAGGTCTTTTTAACTCACTGATTAATGTGTTTGATCTATCATAACAATAAAACCATAATATTGTGTAGGTCCTTCTCATTATGCCAAAACAGCTCTGACTTGGACAAAGGGGGTGTCTGGGACTGTCCTACTGGGATGTTGGCAGCGGATCTTTTGTGTCCTGTGTGTTGCAGAGTGGGACCTTTATGAATCAGGCTTGTTCTGATGCATCCCGTAAACGCTTGGTCAGTTTATAATCTAGAGAGTTTGCAGACCAGGTCAACACTCTGAGCTCTTTGTCGTGTTCCTCGAGCTTTTTGTAGTACAGTAGTGCACATAGTCCTGCTGGGGTGCTTGCTCAGAAACAGTGTTAAAGTGGATGGTACACGTCAAAGTAACATCCACATGAATCCTAGAACACAAGGTTTATCAGCAGAGAATTGCATTATAAGGAGATGATCAGTGTTATACACTTTATCTTTCAGTGGTTTTAATGTTGTGGTTGGTTGGTTTATATGAAACATCGTACTGAGAAAGATGCAGCGGTGCTCTCAAAAGATGGCCTCGCTGTGAATTCACCTGTGTCCCCATAGCAGCCTATTTGTACATGGAACAACTGTCTAATTAGTCTCATTCAGTTCACTGCTTCGTTATAACAGCTAATTATTTGATGCTTGTATTACATAAATGGTCACATGACTTCCACGACCTCACTCACAGATGCACTGAAATGTGCGATCAGATATTCGGCTGGCCAGTGTCAGATGCTCAGTAATGCTGTCGTCATACAGTGGCTGGCCCACACATAGTAGATTGATTGTTCAGCCTAGTAGGCTCCATTGATTTCTTCAGATTGTAAATTCCACTCTGCAGTTTGAGATGCCCGGTGAGAAAACAATGAAATCATGACCGGTGCCTTCCTCTGCCAGAGCACTACGCTGTTGCAAAACTGCACACAACATGAAAAGTGTTAAAAGAGCTCAGTATATTATATAACTTGGATTTGATCGAACGGTGTGGTTGACAGAGATGAATCTGCTGTAAACAGACGCAACTTTAAATCATCCTATAAATCAAACCTGTGTCTCTGGTAGATCATTTGCTGCGTAGCTCTCTGACAGCATGTGAGCACACACACTATATTTAGTGGCGATGGAGGCGAACGATCTCAAAACTGAGGCGAGCAGTTCTAAATTATATGCGTGCAAGTCAAGCAGTTTGTTTAACAAGTTGCGAAATTTACAGCAGTACAGTGTGATACAAAACATTCACACTGTTTTCAGACGACTGTGTTCCCGTGAGATGAGGTCTCTCTGATTGTGCAGCCTTGTTTGCTGCAAAAATCTAATACCCAGCCTTTGATTAAAAGAATAAGTGGAAGCAAGCTGCAAGAATGAAGCAGAAAGTTAAAAACAAAAGCTTCACAGAAAGCATGACAGAGCACGGCCAGTTTTGTCAGCTGGGAAAATTCACAGCTGTATTATTTGATTAGTGTCTCGGTGTCAAGCACACAACCCTTCTTAAACTATGGAGAAGTGGGCTTGCAAGTGGTTGCGTTATGGAGAGCTTTGTGCTTTAAGCGGCAGGTTAGGGAGATTGTTATCCACAAGGACACAAGAACAGATTAAGCATTCTCATTTTTGTTATTTGCTAGTAGAGCATGATTTGAATGCTTGATAAGTGGCTAATCCTTGCACTGTAGATGAATACAGCAGCTGAAAATGAACCAAACAGCATTGCCAATGTTGGGTGAATTATTAATTTCATACTAATATCCATTTCCTAAATGTAAAAACAACAAAGACCATCCTTTGTGGCACTGATTAGGTGTTCGTATTTAAGTTAGTTGGGCTTGTTAGCAGTAATTCAATTCAATTCAATTCAATTCAATTCAATTCAATTCAATTCAATTCAATTCAATTCAATTCAATTCAATTTAACTTTATTTGTATAGCACAGTTTACAACACATGTTATCACACAGCGCTTAACAAAGTAAGGTATAGACCTTACAAATTTAAACAGAGAAACCAACAATCCAAAGTTGCCTTCGGACTTCCTTTGAGGGACCCGCCCCCCACAACACTTTCTGATCATAGACTGTATGCTTCAGGTTTGGCATTTGGCTACTTCATGCTCTTTTTAAAGCTGACTTAACAAGCAAGAGGTGGATTTGCTTATCATACCAGCGTTTGTTTCTAGAGACCGATCAATCACAAGGTATCCCTGCCATAAAAAGTACGCTGCTTTATTGTATGTTTCACTCTTAATGGGGCCAAAATTTACAAAATGAACTCCACGCTGTATTGAAAAAGTCTTTAAACTAACAACTGAGACCACAAATTTATAAGAAAAATGTTTATTGAGGTAACATATGAAGTGATAATTTTGTTTTTTTTCTCATACATTTCTATACAGTCTGATTTATTTTTTTAAACCAGAGGAGTCACCCCCTGCTGGCTTTTAGAAAGAAAGCACTTCTGCATCAGTTATATTAAAAATATATGTATATTTTTTTCAATAGATGAGAAAAAAAAAACAAGGTCACATTGAGGTAATTAATGGTACTGACTTTGCAAAAAGGATGTAGAATGTTCTCATATTAAAGTAACAATAAAATGTACAGTAAATGTTTTAGAATTTGTATTTTTCTTTTACATTTTCTGAAATAAATGATTAGATGAGATTACGATTTTTCAGGTCTTTGCAGACCTTAACAGGTGTTTGGCATTTCAAGACAGACAGACTCTTGGGTTTTACTTCCAAAATACTAAACTCTTCAAACAATCTTATTTGTATGGTAATCAGGGCAGGTGGAGCATGTTCTGCACATTCTGACTGTGATGTCCACTTACTCGAAAGTGCGTTTAAACCAAAGCAACACTGCCACTGTCAGGATCACAACAGTCACTGCAGAGCGTTTGATGTGAAACTGATATTTTACCTCTGTTTTTTTCCCGTTAGAATGGTCAGACTGCTCTGTCGGTGGCAGAGGGAGCCTCTCACCAAGAAATAGTTGACCTTCTGAAGGCCCAAGCTGAGGGTAAAACCTCTGAGCCCACGTTTACCACAGACCTCCTCTGAGCCAGAGTCCTCCGAACCATTCCAGCTCGCCGAATACAACTTTTCCATTTCCATGACCCTCTGCCCACCGACATGGAGGGAAAAAACCTGAAATAAATACACAGTGACACCACACGGGACATGCATGTAAGACGTGGAACCGCGCCGAAACCTCTGAGAAGGAAGCGTTTCTTCCACGTCTCTGCCAACATGTCCTGTGGGTGTTCATGGATATGCTGCATCAACCACCGAAGTGGACGGACAAACAAAGCGAGCCGGCTGGATCGATGATTGGACGTCGCCATGGTGACAAGTGTGATTGACAAGATATTAAGGAAGACACAGGGTGAAAATACAAAGCAGGACACGGCATGAACAGAATGGCAAGTGGACAGAGAGATGCTCTGAACTGCTGCTTCTTATCATCATGTAACTCTTAAAGCAAAATACTAAGCACATGATCTACCTTTGAAATATGATATGAAATATAACATTATTTCTATTTTTCTTTTATGACATTGACATTGTTCTTTTCATATTTGGACATAAGCCATTATTGAGAACATAGTATATGTAGAATGTTATTCTACCAGATTATAACCATACAAACACAGAAACTGTATTTTCTACTGCACTTTTTTTATTGTGTTTGTGTACAGTAAATAGTCCTCTCTAATATCGGTGTCCAGAACAAACTACAGTATATATAAATGAATATATATATCTCCAAAAGTGTTAAATATGAATTTAAATAATAGAATAGATCCTCTTGTCAAAATTTCTTACAACTCAGTGGCTATTTGACATAATTTAACGTACTGTTTTTTTTTTTTTTGCCATAGTAATCATGTTTGTTTGTTTTTCACGTATGGAACATGACTGATCATCATGTGTGGATTATTGAATAACAAATGGTTTAGTCAGAGATGAAAAAAAAAAAAAAAGTTGGACACAAAAACATTTTTTTATAATATATTATATGACCATAGTGAAGAAAGACAAAAAAAGTCTTCTTACAAGAAGATTGTACTGAACAGAAAGTGCTGCATGCCAATACAGTTACTCCCCCTACTGGCTGTCTTGTGATACTAAACAGCAGTATGTTGTAATACTGTCTGTTCTCATGATAAACATCTCTCTCTCTCTCTCTCTCTCTCGCTCTCTCTCTCTCTCTCTCTCTCTCTCTCTATCCGTCCCTCAGTTCAAATATAATGTACGTCTTGTTCGCCTGCTCGTTTCAAATCATGTATGCAACTGCTACAAAATGCACAATGAATGTCAGGCTGGCTGTGACACATTCCAAGAAAAGAAAAAAAAACTAATGTAGCAAGTTTAGCTATACTGGCATGGATCATAGGACTAACAGACATCGGTGTTCATATTTCAAAACAGTGACAACTGACAACATGATAAATCTACAATAACGGGAGGTTGTTTTTCACAGTCTAAGAAGCAATATTAATGAAATACTACCATGTCAGTCAGAAACCAGGTAGGGTGAGTGAGCTTGGTCTTGCCTTAATCAGATCAGTCCTCCATCCGAGAGACGCGGTATTTCCCAGGGAGTAAAGTCCTTTTTCTGTTGTTTAACACAAACCCGTAAGCATTGTAAAGCAGGAGCAGTGGTCCTATAAAATGTTTACAATTCAGCATTTCCCACATCAGTGAACACTGCACATGTCAGACAAAGTGATCTAACCTAATATATTACTATAATAAATACATGAAATGATAAAATAATTTTATTTCTAATAACTTTATTTCACAGTGAGCCTCCTGCTGCTCCAGATCATGATGGCTAGAGATAACCGTGCTCTTAAAACGTATCTCTGAATGGGGTAAAGTCAGTCTGATAAGGTCGGTGAAGGTGGAATCTAAAGGGGAATACCACTCAGTTTTAAATTTAACTGCCATATCTGTGGTCTACAACGATCCAGTTTGCATTTACAGTTAGAAAATAACTTACTTTGTATTGAGGCAGGACTCCAGAAAACTAATCAAACTCTGGGGAGCTTTCTAGCGTTTGTTTCTTACCTACGAGTCAAACATCTCAGCTTACCAACGTTGGATTCCAAATGTAATCATTTGTTTCCATCAAAATATATTTGTATTACAACGCCATCTTATTCGCTCTGTAAACTTTTTCTGCAGCATCATCTGACCACCGATTCTGCACCAATATTCTGTTATTCCCTAATACTTTCTAAACATGGGCACTACTACAGGCTGACCATGAAGATTACATGAAGTATCTCCATTACTTGGAGCTACATGCATTGACTGAACATGTTTAGTAAATTTATCTTGATTTGCTGAGTCGCAAAGTAGCACAGATTTTCTCGACGACCAAGTTGCATTTACAGCATCAGTGAATCTCAATTTCTCAAACTCTGTGCAGCAATTCTGATCCCTACTGATTGTCTTGTGTGTTTGAGAACACAAATCAGAGTCAGTGTAGCTTCCCACATTTCAGACAGCCAAAGGACGATCAGATCTGTGCTGTCAGAAGGTTCTGGTGTATCTGGTCTTCCGTGCCTGCATATTACATCTTTTTAGAAGTGACATCTATGTTTAATCCGGTGTGACCCAGATGCAATAAGATTTCACATCTGGCCGAACACCAAAGAACTGAAATCGAATCTGTTTCACATGGGATTAAATATATATATATATATTTTATCTGTTCCTGTAAATCCAGCCAAATATATGTACATACAGTATTGTGAAAAGTATATAACAAGTATTGTCTGACAGTTTGCTCTAAAAAAAATTATATGAAGTATTTATTCCAAATGCTATATTTTTAAATCATATATAATATACTTATGTATGCATGGACAAATATTCAAATGATACTTCTTAAGGGAGAATTTGGATGATTAAAAATTATACTGAGTGTTCCCTGATGATGTGATTATTTGACTTTGGTTGGGTGGTTATAGTACATGTATGAACTGACGAGGTTGTGGACTGTCATGTGCCCTTTTATGCTACTTTTGACATGTGGGGTGTGGGGGATATAAAACAGATCTGACACTGACCTAGACTATGAGGGCGGAGTTTCCCTTGTTTAAATACCAGTCAGAGAAGCAAAGTCGAAGTACATGACAGAGTCAAATGTAAAAACCTGTCTGTAATATTCCTTGTACAACAGGCTTGTCTGTTACAAACCAGAGAACTACTTCTAAATAAATAAAGATTTAAAACTTATGAAATGCTTCATGTTGTCCCCTATGATTTCAGAGAGAGCTGCAAAGGTGCTACTATGTGTCAGGTTTCAAAGATTAATGACGTGTTCATGACAAAGAGTCATTTTGATCCACTGTACTACACAGTCCTAGCTGTGAAAAGACAAACAGTACATCCACTGGAAGTTGTTGACTTTTTTAAACAAGCAAATGTTTGATCCTCTTGAAACAGAGCCTGTTAACAAAGGTATGATACTAAATCAAATGACACATAAAACTGTCCAGTATCTATTATCTAGATTAAGTACCAGTGATTAGAACCTCTTTAGAGAACAACAAGTGGAACGTCACATCTAAAACCCTTATCTGAGGTCTGCTGTTCTCTGTGCTGTTGAGGTGTGTGGTGTCATCATGCTCTCTAAAGAGCTCTCTAAAGGCCTTTTCAGACATGAGATATAAAGTATTGCTGGCTTCATCTATATGTTAAAGTGACGGCATTCTGTCATTCAGAATCAGTACACATGCTATCAGTTGAAGTCTCATGCATGAGTTTAGTTTTCTTACAAGGTAAATGAATGTGAGTGTATTCCAGGAGAATATTTTTCTCCCGTTATTGCTTCATTAATTAGGGCCCGAGCACCCAAACGGGTGCGAAGACCCTATTGGAACTGCTCGGATTATTAGGGTCCGAGCACTAACGGTGCAAGGACCCTATTGTAATCGTTGTGATTATTATTATTATTATTTATTATTATTTTACCGACTTTTGAAACGCGATTTTGAGGGCCTAAACATGCTCAAAAACTCATTGAAATCGCCACGCACATCAGGACTGGCGAAAAATTTGATATTTTAAGGGACTTGGACATGTCACTGGCAAAATGGCCAAGCCCTAAACCCAACAGGAGGTATGTCATTTTGAAAAACCCCTGTGAGAGTTTTGGCTGACTTTTGGCCATTTTTGACCATTTTCAAAATCTATCTCCTCCTACAGGGAAGCTCGTACACACCTGAAATTTGGCCAGCACAAACTACAGGAGGTGGTGATTACACGTTAGTAAAACGGTCCGCACAAGTGTGACGGCGTGGAAATGGTGCCCCCCTGAATTTGGCCACAACGCCATAAAACACCAGAATACGAGACGCGCTGTGTCTGTGCTCCAGTCGGCCTGAAATTTTACACACGTGCTCCAAGTCTGAGCCAGAGCGTGTTTCCACTCCGGCCAACACGCACGCCGCCGTGGCCCACCACTAAACAGGAAGTGGCTCGTAACTAGGCCACACTTGCTCCGATCTGCCCCAAACTCCACATGCCGGATCACACCCCGCCGTGCGCGCAGGCCGACAAGCGTAGGGCGAGGACCCGTCCATCGCCGCTTGCGGCTTTAATTCAACATTGTTTCTCTTACTGAAATCATTTGCTGGGCATTTAGAAATCAGGCTCCCTTTCAAACAACACATAAAACTACTGTGGCGACTTTACAGTGAAGGTAATTCAAACACTGTGCACCATCACAAAGATCAGAGGGCAGAGCGAGAGAGCGTTTCTTCTTTTATTTTATGTATTTTCTCTTGAAACAAGATGTTAATGTGAGTCTAATAGCAAGGTTGGATAAAGTTTCTTGATTTACAACAACTGTTACAAAAGTGAGTATTAAAAATAAATAGTTTTTCAAAGCTAAAAATATAAAAACCATAAGAAGACATACGAAGTTAGTTTGGTACTTACCGATTAAAAACCTCTATATTAGGACATTATTATATTTTTCATTTGTCATGTCAGTAACCCTTGATCTAAGTATTCTGTGAATCTAAGATGATAACTATTGACACAGAAATATGTAATTATTTTTCTACATTCATCCAGTATCTATTAAAATGACAAAGGCACATTCAAGGGAAAGTAAACTGAAAGAAACTGTAACAACAGAAAGAAACTAAATCTACTCAACAATAACAGAAAAACAGTAACTGTTTCTACTATAACTGTACTTTGTGTAGTTGTACAACCTTCTCCAGTTTCTGCAGACAGACTTAATGAAACTGTCATCAAGCAGATGGTCTCAGTTCTGCAACTGATTAAGCAATGGTCCATTTCAAACTTGTTAGCTAAAGTGAAAATACATGTTACAATCATTACAGCTGACCTATAACAAGTGTTCTGTAATACATCCGTAATATCATGCCAGTGGATAGAGAACAAGTATGTTCCTTATACACCACATGTGAAATCCTGATGAATACATTTCAGTCCATCAATTTCTAATATAACTAGAATATAACAGCAGTCTATTGTGGGAGTACAGCCTTATATGCTGGGTAGTATGGTCTCCACACAGTTGTAGGTCCAGTCCTGTTTCTCAATAATGGGTAGCACATGCTGGCACACCTAGTGGAAGGCACAAATATGTTCTGTTTTAGCATCCAAGACAACACATGGTCATTCAGGATCCTAATATTTCTTGTTCAATGGGGAGAATTTAACACTTAATTAAAATGTGAAAAAGCTATATTATATTTATGATATTGAGGATAATTAAACAAACAGTAATAACTGAGCAATATACTTAGGAAGATTTACTACCGTCTTTGTTCTGGCGGGTACTTCTACAGCAAACACAGTCATGCCTCTGCTGCTGCAGCAGTTCCTGCTCTGCTCATTGTTAACATGGACGGTCACTTTCTGG